AAAAATTTGGAAATCTGTTTATCAAAGTCTCTTGAAGTTTTGTTGTGCCAAAGAATTGTAGCATAAAACGGTGTTTGGTAGTTTTTGTTATTTGGTAATTGCGTAGTACTTTAACTCTCATCAGTAAATAAACACTATCTTCTTTCAATTTTTCTTTGAAAGTGCATATATTTGAATATCTGACCTACGCATGTATTCGATCTCCCTGACAATGCAAATGAAAAAGTATATATTAGCATTATTACAACGTTGTGAATGTATACACAATCTAGATTCGTTTTAATGAAACAACTAACATCTGAATCATGAAAAAAATACATCCAAAGATTCGGGTCCCCTGGCATGGACGAGGACATGATAAAATCTTATCGCTCCAAATTTAAGCATCAAAACTGAGGACCTCTCATCAATATTTTTTTACAGTCGTTAACAACCTCATGATATTTGAAAGGTAGAATTGAAAACGGAGTTCAAAGAGGATAGTTACGAAAAGAGTTTTAGAATTGAAAATCCAGTTCAAAGAGGGTAATTACGAAAAGAGTTTGAGAATGTCCGTATTTATAGTAGGAAAATATTAAATAAAAATCGTAAAGTATTTTAATATAAAAATAACTTTATTGGATTTATCGTATTGAGAACTTTCAAAATTGTATTTCATTATGTTAATATGTAATACAAATTGAGAGTAATTAGAGTTTAAAGTTTGTCCAGTTTGACTCGAAAAAGTCAAACTGGATAAATACTTTGGGACGGAGGTAGTATATATTTGTATGACCTAAATATTAAAGCCAAAATCCGTACTCACCCTGCTCCCATGAATCACATCTCATGATATAAATTGCCCTCTCATACTTTGAGGAGTTTTAGTACGTATTGGTTTTCCATCTTGGGAAACATCATATCATAAATAAATTCAAGACATTAACGAAATTAAATGGAATTGCAAATTTCGCCAATCCGGAGTATAAACGTGTGTGTTCATGAATAAAGTTGGCACCACCAATATGGTGTCTTCCTTAGTTGGAATATAATAACCTAACACCAAATAATGTTTGTTGTGGCCGAATTCGCCTAACGAGGAACAATTTTAGATGAAAATAGCAATTTTACTTAAACGAGCTGAGGAACAATATTACATGAGATTGTGTTGCATTGAGTTATTAAAAATGGTTGAAATGTTCCCCAATTTTTTTTCCCAAAATAATGTTTAAATTATGTATGGCATTCATAGAGAGAGAATTCACAAAATTGAAATTGGTAAAATCATATTTAAGGTAGTTCATACAATTTGATAATATACAGTTGGTTTTATTAAATAATTATGATCACATGTGTAGAATAATAAGAATCATGGAAGCAATTAAATAAGAAAAGTAATTAATTCGAATATTTATTTCATCATATTATTCCAGCAAGTTGATCAACGGTAATGAGGGACAACTTGGAGCGAGCATAAGTACTAGAATGAAGCTAGAGGAAGCAGTTTTGTGAGAATGTCTGCTAACTGCTCAGACGAAGGAACACGATGAGTAGTCCTAGTGCCTGTCATGACTTCATCTCACATAAAATGACAGTCTGAACCAATATGCTTCATATGATCATGCAGAAGTACTAGATTCTTGTTCACTGATAGTGGATTCATTCTCGCAGTAGACTCTGGATTTGGAATGAGGAATGTGTAATACAATTTGATACTCGTAGTAAGATCATTAAATAATGAAAGTTATATGCATGAGTATATATGATGATCGAGTAGAATGAGAACCCTCCATCATATGAAAATAAGAATTTTGGAACAATAAATGAATAAGGAAAGTAATTAATAACGAGTATTAATATCTATTTCGTATTAATAATCAATGTCTCAAAATGTTAAGAGTATCCCACATCGGAAAAGTGTGAGGAAAATAATCGGTATATAAGCTCTTGAGTTGAACTAACTATTCGATTGGATTCAATCTTTTAATGTGGTTCAACCCAAGTGTCTTATTACCGAATCCAGTTGTCCATACCCATCCCAAATTCTATCATGGTATCAGAGCATGTTTTGGCCCATCTCGTTTGTTAAGGTGTCCGTCTAGATGTTCATTCTTAGCGGCTCGTTAGTCTTTAGCCCAGTTGTTCGTATGGAGTATGTACTCAACGGCCTGTGGCCCGTGTATCACGATTGCTCGTCTGAAAGTCCATACCCAGCGGCTCGTGGTCCTTTAGGTGTTGGCGCTAAAAAAAGTCAAGGGAGTGAGAGTTCATTTGCAAGTGGTCAACCAGTTAGATTCAAAATGACCCGGTTGTCCACTTGAGGGGGAGTGTTAAGAGTATCCCACATCGGAAAAGTGTGAGGAAAATAATCGGTATATAAGCTCTTGAGTTGAATTAACTAATCGACTGGATTCAATCTTTTAATGTGGTTCAACCCAAGTGTCTTATTACCGAATCCAGTTGTCCATACCCATCCCAAATTCTATCACAAAAAGACTCAATAGATTGGCAATGTTTTCAATTGATCATGTTGAAATTGATAAAATCATACTCTCTCCATCCCTGGAAATATGTGAGGTTTTGATTTTTAAGAGATTTAAAGAGAGTGTATTTTGGTATTGAGTTTCTAAAAATGTTCTTGGATGTGATAAGTAAAAGTAGTATTTGATCAGTAGATTAATACTCTCTCCGTCCCATGAAACATGAGATGTTTTGCTTTTTGAAGAGATTTAAGGAAGTGTATTTTGATATTAAATTTCCAAAAATGTCCTTTGATATGATGGGTAAAAGTAGAATTTGATGGGTAGATTACTAGTAAAAAGGTATGATGTGATAGGTAGGGTATGAAAAAGTAAGGGGTAAAAGTGACTTTTTAATAGAAATGAGAAGTGTTTTATGGGACGGATGAAAAAAGAAAGGAGAAAGGTTTTATGGGACGGAGGGAGTAGTAAATTGATCTGAATATGTGATGTCATATGTATGTTAAGATTAGTATAGTAAAAGTAACTTTTTAATAGAAATGAAAAGTGTTTTAAGATGTATTAAAATAAAAATAAAAAGGCTTTCAGTATGGAGGAAGTATTTATTTAAGGTAATTAATGTCTCGAAAAGAACAAAATAGATTCACAATATTATCGATCATGCTACATGTACCCCAAAATTTGTACCACATTTGTACACTAAAGGTATGCACCAACATTTTGATAGTTAACACTGACACGAAGTATTGGTGCGTTAACAAAAATTTACACTGACACAAAGTGTTGGTGCATTAATAAAAATTAATATTACACCAACACAAAATGTTGGTGCAACGCTGCGGTGTACAAAATGAGGTACAAATTCAACTCCAAAGTCAAAATCAATTATTTGTGCAATTGACGGGGGTAGGAGGGTGTGTTCGGGTTGGGGCGGGGTGTGGGGGTTTACCGGGGGTTTAGGAGGGTAGGAACCGTCAATTTTACGAACAAGGCACAGGAGTGCCCTCGGGTCATCCAATGACATTGGATTCCAATGTCATGGGAACCTTGGTGTAGTATGTTTTGATGCTCTACTTTTACCGATCATTATTGTGTAGCTATTATTTTAGTGTTTTTTTATGCTCCTTGGTTCACTAATGTCATGAGATCACCTGGAGATGCTTCGGTGCTCCGTTCGTAAAATTGACTCATACCCTTCTAACTCCCCCAGTAACCCCCCCCCGGTCCCAGACACCCCCCCATCCCCTTCAATTGCACCCCTTAAGTTAATTTTGACTTGGAGTCAAAATTTGACTTCAAAGTTAAAATTAACTTGGGAGTACATGCAATTGAAAGAGGTGGGGGGTGTGTTCGGGTCGGGGCGGGGTGGAGATTTTACCGAAGGATTAGTGGGCTAGAAATCGTCAATTTTACGAATGGAATATCAGAGCACCGTCGGATCAGTCTATGACATTGACCCAATGTCACGGGAACCGACTCCTTTTTTATGATATGAAGTCTTTTAACTTGTAAAGAATATAGTACGTTTTTTTCTATGCTATGGCCTCTAATATACTCCGTATATTTTTGCATCTTTGGCCTTAAAAAAACTAGAAATGATATATACCCCGAGTATATATTACTCCGTATATAAATTATAAAATCAGATAGAAAATTATTTTGAAAAATTTACATAAATAGTATTAAAACATAATAATTTTTCTTAAATAATACGGAGTATCATATGTTGTTTTTTCCAATGTAACACTTTTATTAGTATATCCATTAATCATTATTCAAGTGAATGTTTGTCATTACTTGATATTATTCCTCTTTCTGGACATTATTAAGTGTTATTTAGGGAATAAAAAGGTTTAAGTGCTATTTAGAGAAATGACTAAACTTTTTAACTATTTAGTGCAAATATTTCAATTATTTTTGGGACATGGGGAGTACAAAATCTTCATCACGGTCTTATTGTTGAGCTCTGATACCACTTGTTAGGCCTCAAACACTAGTTGTTGAGCTCCGATACCACTTGTTAGGCCTCTACAATTGACGTGGTTGGAGGGGTGGGTTGGGGTCGGGACTTGGTGGGGGTGTTTGTCGAGGAGGTTAGAAGGGGTAAGAACTATCAATTTTGTGAACGGAGCATCGTAAGTGCCCCAATTTGTTCAATGGCTTCGGAAGTCACTGAAATGCAGTGGATATAGAACCCCACCGATACAAATATAGTAGGTACATGTTTTCAATATCTTTTATTATTACAAATAGTAGGCACACACTACTTTTTCACTCACTCTTTATTTAGGGAAAATATTTTCATAAGCACTCACTTTCTTCAATCTCTCGATAACTTTGATTTGTTTATTCATTTTCGGGGATCAATCATTTGATAAAATAAAACATATTTTTCCCATCACATCTTGTTTTGTAAAAATTTGGATGTACTTTTGAACGATTTAATTTGTACTTTTATTACTCTGTTAATTTATAAACAAAATAATTTTAAAAATGATAACACTTTATACTCTACGTTGTCCGAAATCTGATAAACGATTTCGGATGGAAGCAAATATGATTTGGATTATATTAATCCTCCTCCACTGCTATTTAAACATAATTGCATGTGATAAAATCATGCAAAGTGTTGGGACTGCGCGTGCCCTCACCCCAACCCCGTATTAGTATGATATTGTCCGCTCTGGGTCAAACCCTCACGGATTTGTTTTTGGGCACCTTCCAAAAGGCCTCGTACTAATGGGGTTGGGTGAACCTTTATATTTTGGTTCATTTACTCCTACTCATCCGATGTGGGACTTTGGAGGAATCCAACAAACCTCCCCTCATCCAAGGACCACACAACTTCCGACCTCCCCTCCAGCGGTAATCCCTTTTTTTTTCTCTTTATCTGCTAACCATCTTGCACCGCCGCACACTCTTTGCGGGACACGCCGCCCGACCTCCTATTGGGAAGACTTTCGACGCAAGGCTCGAACTGCAGATCTTTCCTTCACTGGGCTACACCATTTGATCCGCCAAATCATCTTGTACCGCCGTGACTATAACTTCACGGGACGCGCCGCCCGACCTCCTCTCGTCGGGAAGACTTTCGACACAAGGCACCACCTGCAGATCCTCTTTCTTGGTCTTGGTCCTAGTTACACCGTCACACCGAGATTTTTTTTCCACACTGCACAGTCCGCTACTCCCGCCCGCAAGAACCTGGGCTCCGATACCACATGTTGGGACTGCGCGTGCCCTCACCCCAACCC